CGCGTCCTCCCCTCTTGGAAGCTGGCGCGGCGTCTCCGCAGACGGGTCGGGGGCAACCGAGGGGGCAACTTCAGCATACAGCTGCGTGTTGATGGCGTGGACAGCAGCGTGCGCGCGGGCGAGGTCATGAGCTTCGGTGAGTCACTCATGCACATCACTTGCCCCGATTGCCATTTCCACCGGTGGAGGGGCGGAGAGCACGTTTCGCTATCAGCGTAGCCGCCCTAACCGCCCTTCACACTACCACCTTCTGGCTTCCTCCTTCCATCATTTCCGGAACCGCAAATGACTGACTTCGTTGCCGCATCGCTTGTCCTGTGCTTCGAAATCCAGATACGATGCCATCCACATTAGCATCGGTCCTGCAGAAGGAGAGGCAATCCCTGCCCCCGATCACACACCCCATGGGCGAACTGTCCATGGCCGTCACGTACCTTACGTCTCCCAACTTCCAGTTGGACGACCTCGAGTCCCTATTGTCCTCGCGCTTCCTGTCCTTGGAGGAAGGGCCCGACTTCACCCCGACTCTTGTCAAGAACCAGCAGCGCGACAGCATATCCGGCTCGCCAGGAAGCCTTCCCCTTCGCACGTCCCTCCCCCGCTCACCGCCGCGCTCCATTGTGGATAGGTTCGTGATCCCACCACCCTCTGCCTCACATACGCGGTCCGGGTCCTTCTCGTCTACGCAAGCTGCGAAGGGTAGCCCCGGCCCCAGTCCTCGACTAGGGAACATACCTCTGCCAGTCTCGCGCAACCTATCCGGAGCGGGGATGGGTACTTCAGGTGTGTCGGACTCGTCTTCCTCCCGGCAGGGCGCTGCGTCCATCGGCTCGCGTGAGGAGGTATCTGCGCTCGCTGCACGTATGCGGCGCGAGAGCTTGCAAGGGCGGAGTTCGGTACGTGGTCCTCCCTATGCTCGTCATTGCATATACTGACTTCCCATGGCTGCAGGATGTCGCCTCCGCTGCTGGAGTCCCCATCCGAAGACCAATCACTGCTGTCAATGCCTTCAAGTCATCCACGATCTCGTCAGGGTCGCCTTCATTGCACTCGCCATCGCCATCCCTCCGCCAGAATTCACCCCTTTCAGCCGGGACAGGCCCCTCTCTTCCCTCACGTCCAGCACAGTCGCCCACATCGTCTCGTGTGCCACCTTCGCCCACAGCTAACTTCCCTTCATCTCCCGTGACGCCCTTCAGACCATCACCCCCGTTCGTACCATCAAGCTTAGGCTCGGGCCGACCACCATCTATGGAAGGCATATCTGGGAGTCCTTCTGGCGGTCTCCCTTCAGGGTCCCCGAGGATGCAGGGGAAGCGCTACTCGAGCAGTTTCGGACAGCGCTTCGCCACACCAAGCGCGACCGGGGACGTCAGTCCGAGAGGAAGCCCGCGCAGTGCCCCCAAGGAGGTAGACAAGGTGTGTTGCGCGAATATCGCGCCATCTTCCACGTACTCATCATCGCGCTGCGTTCAGCCCACATCGTACCTGAGCACGAACACCGACGACGACGACATCTCGGCGTTCGTCCAGGATATCGACGCGCGCAAGCCGCTCCCGAGCAGGCGCGAAGGCTCGGAGAGCCCTGCCGGTCCACCGCAGGGACACGGGCGCGAAGCCACCATCGCGGAAGAGTCCAGCTCGGCCCACTCGACCGACGTCGCGCCCGCCGGCTCGAATTCACGTCAGCGCACTCTCTCCACACCCTTCCCCGGTCCCGTGCTCGCGACGGAGAGCGCAGTAGACGAGCGCCTGCGCGAGATGAACGAGACCTTCCTCGCGTCGCTGCAGGGTCTCGGGATAGGCTCGCGGAGGCGCGAGCCGAGCACTGCGACGGGGGACAGAACGGACCGCCCGAGCCCCCCGAGTCGTCCTTCGCTGTACTCTGATCCCTCGGCGGCGCGGCGCGAGAGTCCCTTGGCGAGTGCGAGCGTGCCTCCGTCGCCGCAGACGGACAGCGCGGGGGCGAGCGGTGCGATCATCATGCCTGGGGTGCCGCTGCCGCCGATGTACGTGCGCCCGCGGCTCGCGTCGACGGGGAGCGTGCGGAGCGGGTTCAGCATCGCGTCGGAGGAGGTGCTTGGGCGAATGGATCCCGAGCCTGCAGGAAGCGAAGAGAGGCGGCGCAGTCGGGGGCCGCTCGCGGGGTGACCTGCAGGTCTCTTGCTGTGATATTGGGTGCGCGTATGCAGATGGCATGCAGATGGTGCCGGAGGACGGAGGGGGCTGGAAGTCGACCGCTCGAGGAGCTCGGCCTTGCTCACCCTCCACGGGTCCTCGTGGACCAGCTGCGTCGCGCTCATGTTGTCGTTGTCAGACAGTCAGTCTCGTGCTTCGTGGCATGTCGTGGGTCTTGTTATTATCTCGCTTATGTAGCATGCATTTATTATTTCCGTGGACGTTTGGACTACGTCCTGGGCTCGCTCCTTCCACTTAGTATGTAGTTGCTCGAGCCCAGCTGTTGCATTATTAGTTTCTCTAGTCTCTCTGTGCCTCTCAGTTCCCTCCCCCTCATCATCATCCCTGGGTCCGTGCTTGACATCGCTTCACCACATTGCCGTACGCAACCTTCGTCTTCCCCATCCTCCTCCTGCCTTACTCTCACATCTCCTCATCCACAATCCTCCTCTCTCACCGTACGAACCCGTACTCTTCCCTCATGCATCATCATGCGTTACGTGCTGTGTCCCCGCATAGATATCGTCCATCCTTCAGTGTACATTGACGCATATACCAATACCAGATCACCTCTTCTCTCGAAATAGGGTCGGACAGCGAACGAGACGAAGGTATATTCATACACGGGGAGAGCACATAGGTTGAATTCAAGCAAGCGCGATCGGAGAGCGACGACGGAGTAGAATCGAGTACGAGAAGATGGAGGAGGTGCTGGTGCTGGGTTAGACTATGTGCGAGGTCAGTATCGCTCGCGGTCATGTCCGGACAGCGGCTTACTACTCACGTCTGATCTTCTTGGAGATGAAGCCCGCGAGGAAGCGGATCATGTTCGCGGTCTCCTCGCCTACGGGACGGATCCACTCGGCGGGGAGAGAGAAGCCGTACTGTGGCGATAGTCTCAGCGTAGTGCATACAGGGTTCGATGAAGGGACGTACGGTGCCGGTGTCGCGGAGGTGGACGGAGTACGAGTACTTGATGCCGGCTTTGGCGTACATGTAGTCGACGACGTTGCCGGATGCTCTGAGCAGAAGGTGAGCGAGGGGCACGGCAAGCAGTAGCTAGGGGATGGACACGGACTTGTAGAGCTGCTCGCAGAGGCTTCCAGTCTGTGCAATCGGAGGTGAGCGGGCACGTTGGGCATTCGGGGAGAGAACGACTGCGTGCTCACCGTAAAGACGGTGCCGTGGACTTGCTTGATGGCGTTCACCGCGCCGAGTGCGGCCTCCATTTGGTCCTCGGCGTCCTTCGGACTCTTCTTGCACGAGTACGAGTATGGTATTGAGACTGCGACGCGTCAGAGGCCGTTAAGTGAAGCGGACTTCGAGGTGCAGAGACACGTAACGCACGCATTTGGCCATAGCTGCGCAAATCAACGAACGCCTTGAGCGACGGGAGCGTGGTGATGTAGTTCGCAATGTTGTTCACTTCCGGCGCCTCGAAGGGACGATGACCCGGGTACCACGTCGAGCAGGGGTCAGGATTGGGGCGGTTTCCTGACGCGTTCTCTTTTGTTTCGTTCGTGTAAGAGGGTAGATGCGACTTCGACTTCCACTTGTGACCCTGGAAATGAGAACCAGTGAGTATATGCGTCCGTCCGAAGGCGGGAGGGTACACATACCCAGTTCCTGCGCATACGGGATGAGTAGTGTCCGACACGGCCACAAGGAACCATGTGCTGACCTGTTCATATCGATGCCTGTGCATCTTTCCGCAGGACCAATGTTTTGTCTGTTCTTGTACCTGTTGCGCTCGGTTAGTGGCACTGGCAGATATGCACCTGTGTCGACACTTTGGCTCACCAGAAGCGGTCGCTCTCCCATGTGTAGACGTAACCATCGGGATTGGGGACGGGGATGATGTAGAAGTCCTGAGCAGGTGGTGAGTGCGATTTGTCGCACGTGGAGAGTTCAACGTGTAAGACTCACGAAGTAGTCCAGCCAGGTGGAGAGGGCGAACTCTTCGGAGGCGTCGGCCACCAACGCATGAGCAAGATACAGCGCCGTGGACACAGCAATCCACTGCATAGGGAGCGTATCAGCTTCTGTAGAGCTACAGAACAGAGGGGAGCAGTACCGACCTCGCGTGCGTGTTGCGCCCCGGTGATAACAAACCCAGCCTTCTTCACGCTGGAGGGTCTCGCTCCATCGTTCTGGACAGGCGCTTCCTGAGAGAGCCTCATAGCGATCATCTCTCTGCCTTCTCCCGTGTGACCGATGTTCACGAGTTGGACGAGGTTGGGATGTGCGCGTGCCATCTCCCCCATGAAGTCTTCTATCTCATACAGGGGATGGTAGACGGCATGGTACGTGGAATTGGATAGAGAGCTGAGATTCCATTTTCCTGACAGTCCAGGAACGCCTCCTAGACGAGACAGAGGCACTGAGCCGGCAGAAGGCAGAGGAAGCTCTAGATGCTGGTCGGGATGACTGAAGAGCACATCGACATGAGAAGGTCCCGAACCCCACACTTGCCCGTTTGCTAGCTGACTCGCCGAGGTCTGTGAGCCAGACCTCTCGTGAAAGAAGAGAGGATCGTGCGCACCTCCGCAGCGTTCAGGATGTCCTGTGCGTCCCATCCGTGAAGATGAGGGAGTGCATATCGCCTCACTGTCCCTCGCAGGCCTACCACCGGGTCGACGGGGTGCTGGTCGTGAACTGGGATGGACAATGCATAGATTAGAGTGGCAGACGACAAGGAGACGGCCCACGGCCACAGCATCCTACTGGCACAGACGCAACCCAGCCCTCCTCGCACTCCGCCTCCCCCTCCCCGCGTCGTCCCTCGCCCACCCGTAACGTTAACTTTATAGACATTTTTCAAGCCTTCGATAGCTCAGCTGGAAGAGCGTGGGACTGTAATGGGTATTACGTAATATCCCAAGGCCACCGGTTCGACCCCGGTTCGAAGGATAAGCTTTTTTGTCGTCAAAGGACTTCATTCTGGGATCATACCAGACGTAGTGATGTTGCGTACGATCCCGATTGAGACCTTTGTCGCCCCGCCTCCTCACCTGATTATTGATATCAAACTACCTACCTGTGTCAGTACTGGACAACCTACTATCTCGGAGACCCACCCACTGGTACCAGAGCAACGCCCAGGACCATCCATCCACCAGGTCTCCTGAGACCGACCTGCAGTAAGCGTCCAACTGATCCTTGTGCTGAGTAGGAAGTAGTGTGGCATACAGTATATCACCTACGTAAATACAGCGTCGGTTCCCTACAATACCAAGACCAACCCCTCCAGAACGCGCTCAATGCTTCTTCTCCTCATAGTGCCCTTCCTGGAGTTCGTTCAGCTTGTCTTCCTGGGTGTCCAGATGACGGAACTGGAACCAGAAGATGGTACCCGCGATGAACGCGAGCACGCCCATGACGCCGTAGTTCCACTCCAGCAACGGATCCGCCGACAGCGCGACAAACGCCTCCCCAAGGGCAGCGGCGACCGCGCTCATGAACAGGAAGACGGACATGACGAGCGAGCGCATGTTTTTCGGTGCCTTCGTGAACGCGTACTCGAGCCCAGTGATGGAAGCGAAGATCTCCGACAGAGCGAGCAGCACGTACGAGCCCGTCTGGATCCACACGTTCAGGTCGGACGTGATCGGGTTCCCGTCCGCGTCCGCGCACGTCGCGACGTAGCGCCCGCACGGGTTGCGCTTGTAGATGTAGTACTGCACGACCGTGCTCCATACCATCGAGGCGGCACCGGTGTAGAAGCCGAGCGTGATGCGTTTGAGCGGCGAGAAGTTGATGCCGGCGCGGCGGAGCGCGGGGTAGATGAGCAGATCACAAATCGGGATGCAGATGATGAGTGCGAAGGGGTCGAGGTTGGACAGGACGTCGTTGGGGACGCCATTCGTAACCATCGTCGCAGCTTGGGAAGTCAGATTGTTGTTAATCTGGTTGTAGGTGAGCCCTGCAGTACGTGTCAGCGAATCTCACGTGCAGACGAGCGACACGGGGAACACATACAGTAGATGGGGTAGTACATGAAGACGCTGCACGCCTTGAAGCCACGCTTGACCTCATCGACCCACTGGTCATCGAAAGTCATCCAGCCAGGACGGGTCTCATCCGAGTAGTGGCTCGGCTTCGCGGAGTCCCAGAAGTCGGGCGCGTTCAGCTGCTTCCAAGTAGTGACCGGGTTCCACGACCATCTGCCCTTCGCCGCCTGACGCCAGATGCGGACGGACTGGGAGAGAACCGAGCCGGTCGGGGGCGAACGCTGATACATGTTGCGGCCGATCCAAAGAACGATGGGGCAGAGGCAGAACACCACGGTGGGGAGGGTGTACGCGAGCCAGAAGCCAACATACTACAAGCGCCGCCAATTCCGTGAGAACAGTGCAGATGTTGGACACAATGAAATCGCACCTTCTCGGAGTAAGCCATCGTGATCTGACCAATGAGGGCACCGATGTTGGTGAACAGGTAGAAGTACATGTAGATCCTTGATGTGGTCATGATGGGGTCGACGATAACGCGTTCGCCAGACTTGGTCTGTCCGATAAACAGCTTCGTACGCTTGTACTGTTCCGCAACCAACGGCGACACATTCGCCTTGAACCCTCCCGTACCCAAACCCATGATGACGATGGCGATGATGAAGCAGGCCAGAGAACCATGGGAGTGCTCAATGACACCAGGAACGGCGGAGATGATGAGGAGGACGTGACCAAAGAGCGCGATAGCGACTGCGACACAGATGGTCTTGTAACGACCCCATCGTGTATCTGCGATGTACGCGCCGAAGAGAGGGATGACGTAGACCCTGCAGAGGGCGTTAACAGACCATTGCAACTGGAAGGCGCATCCGTGACGTACCAGAAGGTATTGAAAGTACCGATACCAGTGGAAGCGCGCTGGCCAAGACCAAGTGCGCCAGCCTGCTTAATGCTGGCGCCAGTTCGTGAGCCTGCAGGGAGAGGCTGCTGGATGAAGTTCGTCTATCGAGAGAAGGTCATCAGTGCTTTGGTGTGCGACCTGTCTATACAGATACTCACGTAGACAACCGTAGAGCCATAATACGAGAAACGCTCTGCCAATTCGCAAAAAGCGATTACTGCAGGGCGGTGGGACTGAATACTCGCCAAGCGTGATCGCAGTGCAGTTACTCACAGTACGCGTTGATGGGCAGTGTATCAGACACCCGGCGCAGAGTGTGCTTCTCCTCCTCGGTGGGAAACTCGAGCCCGTCATGGACACCATCGAGCTCATGCTCCTCGCCCGAGTGGGGGGATGCAAGGCCCTTCTTCTCCAGCTCCAGTTCATCGCGCTGGGCCTCCGAGAGTCCAGCGAGGATGTCCCTGTCAACTTGAAGACCAGCCATTGTCGCGTCGAACCGGGTTGCAAAGGCGGGGAACCTGAACGGTCTTCGGACAGTCCGACGGTAGGAGCACGGCTGAGCGTGAGGCGGAAGAGAGCCTCGCAGTGGTGATGGTCGGGAGCAGACTGGAAGCTGAAAGAATATGAGTGAATTATATTCTTCCGGAGTACTGTCGGGCGCGCACGTTATCTCATCACTATGGCGCCTTCGGAACTGGAAGGGACCACATGGACGGATGTTCCAATCGCATAGGCGGCATAGGCACTAACGGTGACTAGCCATCACGGTAGCATATGGATCACAGGGGACTCAGCTTGGCAAAAAAAGCCGGAGATTCGGAGGCTCCCGGAGGTGATCGTTCGGTCTCACGAAACTTGAACTCCATTGATGGAGGCGTTGAGATCTAATCTCGGGCGCGTAACCGCTCAGCAGAAGTCCAAGCCTGCGATATTCAATCTCGCGCACCTCTTGATACGCTGTTAGCCACGACGAACCCTCGTATATCCAGGATTCAGTGGCCTGAAAATATTCAGTATCCGTTAGTGCGTCTCAACCTCCCCCTTCGCGTTGCCAAACTTTTTTTTTAGCTTGACCAGGTTTGACACCGCTTTGAAGTTCTTGCGACCATGGCGCGATTCCGAAAGTGGATTAGACTATAGAATCCATGTGCAGCACGGTTCAGACGTCTTCCAGTTCTGGGCTCTGTACCCTTCTGTACCTTGGAGTGGAGAGAGTGGTTGCCCTGGGCATGCTGTAAGTACGAGCGGATCCGGTCGTTCACGATATGTCTGGATGTCAGTTCACTGGGCAGAATGTCACGGGTATGTGCCAGAGAGAAAGGTGGGCAGAACATACCGCTTGACCTGGTCACCTTGCACTGGAGGCACGAGCCGGATACAGGCGAGATACAAACGGCAGGACTGTTAGGTAGCCTTAGGTAGCCGAAGGAGGTGGTCGAATTCTTTCCCACTTTCAGTAATGGCATGCAAGTACGACAGGCTTACACGTGCTAGGCACACGCCATCAGTGAGTAAAGAGATCGCTCGTAGTTGCGCCAGGTAGCGTCACCCTGAACACCATAAACTGGTTGTCGACGTCCAACCCGGCGTCGAATGGCTGGCCCAAGGAAATGCCCTGGGTACTAATGAAGTCGTTGTCGGCCTACATACACATCAGAGTTAGTGATCCAGACGAATGCCCACAAGTCAATTCGACGTACCGCGGTGAACAAGAAGAAGTCGTCTGGGAAGTCGGCGTCAAAGCATGGTGCGAGCGCGAGCGACTCCCACTTTGCGTCGATGAGAGTCTGGTCGGCGGGCTTGCCGTTGTGCAAACCAAATCTTGCCAGCTGCGTGTCGTCGATGAAGCTGACGAAGGACTCGTAAATTCCCGGTGTGATGTCCTTGACCAAGGTTCCTTTCTTCGCAATGGGGTTGGTCGGGTCGTCGAACTTCGTCCCGTGGATGTCCGTAGCGTTGCTGATGTCGAGAAGGTCCGCTTGCCTACAGCATATTGAGATCAATCGGTGAAGTAGGGAACCAATAGCAACGGGGCGCACTTGTATGCAGAGTTGTTGTCGTCACCTCCATGTCCGTCTCCGTCGCGCGAGAGCACGAGGAAGACATTGTTGCTGACGAAGTGCAGCTCACTCGCAGCAAGCGTATTACCCTTCTTGTTCTGCGGCAGAGGAACAACCCACTCGCCCACGATCGGCGGGCGAGCAAGCAGAGGGTCGCTGATATCAAACGCGACCAGGCGGGTGTACCGAGACGTGGACTTGTCGGTGCCTCCATCCTGGATTGTTGCGGATTGAAGAAGCGCGTAGAGGGTCCTGCCGGTAGAATCGGCCGTCAAGCCTTCGAAACCTGACACGGAGCGCATATAGTCAGTTCGCAATATTGATGCGCCAATCGCGAGCTTGCCGACCTTGGTTTCCTGCACGGCCAGTGTCAGGGTCGGTCTCAGACGTGAAGTTTAGCTGCCCGTCAATGAACGGGAGGATCGCATTGGGTGGCTGCAGCGTCTCGACGAGGTCGCCCTGAGGGCCGAACAGATAGATGTATGGGCCGTACTCGTCGCTGACCCAGAACCTAGGCAGCAAAGTCACAAACGAGACAAATGTGTCAATCAAAGCGATATACGCACGTCCCATCTGCATTGAGAACAAGGCCCTCAGCATCGAGGGACAGATGCTTGTTCGTCGCAGCTACCGGCAGCGCAGGGTCCGCGATAGTGATGTTACCGCTCAGTGCCTGCGCAGGCCGCACGGCAAGCGCATCCAGGCCGGTGGTCTTCTGAGCGTTACGTTCGGTATAGAGCAAGGTATCCCGATATGTGAGCTTGAGCGTGTTCAGGGCGTCATCAAAGTCAAGTTTGCCCGAGTCGTAGTACGGAGTTAGCACGAAGTCGATCTGGTGCTGCCGGCCTTGCCAATCAATCGTCCCGTCCCTGCAAAGCTACGTCAGCGTGTCACGAATGAGAAACAGAACAGTTTCGGAATTACACATTGAAACCTCTGTCTGGTTGAGTGACGAAGGTGCCCTTGAAGGTACCGTCCACATTCTGCGAGAACGAGCCT